TAAAATCAGAGGTATATTCACATGATTCCCAAGGAGGAAGCCTGTATAATGAGGACTTCGACAGTGGCAGTGGAGATGAGACAGAAGCTAATAATCTAAGGTGAGTATAGACATGTCTTCCAAATCATACTTTCATTAATCCCTGCTCAACAGATAATGTCAGACTCCTCCAGGCAATCAACAAAACTACATAATATAGTCCTGATTTTTTCAGCCTCATTCCTGGTCATTCTTCCTCTTAAAATATGTAACATTATTGTTTTTTGCACACACTATTCCCATAGACTGATTTTTTTTTTAAATTCTCTTGCATGTTATAAGCTAATTGTCGCTTCTCTGACCCTCCCCTGAACCTTCAGAATGGGTTCTTTCACTCCAGACAACATTTATGCATCTTTATCACATGTCCCACATTGCAATGCCATCATTCTTCTCAGTAACAGTTTTCTCATGAGGCTTAATCTATTAGGATAGCAACTGGGTTTGACTCTTCTAGTAATAACAATAAACTACCCATGGCAGCTGAGCACTTGGAATAGACTTCATTTTGATTAGAAAGCTTTTCAGTAACCTGTAGCTATTAAAGCAGCTCAGTTTATTCTTTTATAAAATTTATATGAAAGGCAGCATGGCAGAAAGGCAGAAAAACAAAGAGATCTTCTATTTGTTGTTTTTTTCCCCCACATGGCAAGGATTGAACCAGGCGCCAGAAAGTGGGACAAAGCTTAATTTTCACAGCCTTCTCTTGATTTTTAAAGCTCATCTCTAACATTGATGCAAACCCATTTCCTCAAACCCTTAAGGAAAGGCAGGCATTTGACACAGCAGTGAAGCTGTGGTTTGGGATACTTGTAGTCCACACTGGATTGTGTGGGTTTGAGTCCTGGCTCAAATCCTAATTCCAACTGTCTACTCATGTGCAACCTGGGACATTGTAGGAGATGGAGTTCTGGATCCCAGCTGTAGCCCAGCCCAGTCCCAGTACACATTTGAGGTATGAACTAGTGGAGAGGAACTCTGGGTTTCTCTGCCTTTCAAATTAATTAATTAGAAACATTACAGATTGACTGAGTCAAGTATTTGGAAGAGTATCTCAGTGGTTTATCCTAAGACATATGCGTAATCATCCCTCTCCTAAGGACTCACAGACAGTTTTCAGTATACCACTGAACCCACCTGTGGTTATTTCAAACAGATCACAAGGAATTGAACTAAAAATAAGCTTATTCTGCTGCCACCAATTTCTTTGAAACCCACGCATAAGAAGTCTTCAAAGGGTTTATGGAAAACGGGCATTATGAAAACACTGTGCATGGATTTCAAACTTTCCGCATGAAATAAACTTATACTTCAAACATTTTTAGGAAAAGATAGAATTACTTCTGTACAAAAACTCAACAGAGTTCCCTAAGCATCAGAAGCAAGAGAGTTTCCTAAGCTAACTCAGACGATTGGAAGATTATGAACAGTTATGCAAATCTGAAAATGCCAACAGAGATGTTGAAGAGAAAGTGAGTCCTCCCCTTCAGTTCCTCATAAAGTGTGTGCCAGGTAATGCCAACTGTAGCCCCTGGATTGTGTTGCTCACTGCTACGCATTACTGTAACATGTTTTTGTTTGAGTTTGTTTTCTTAAAGGGAAGCACTTAGCATCCTCTTGGACACTCAGCAAGAAGACAAGTGGAATCTCCTAACACCGACAGAGCACCTGTCAGGTTCTCAGTACCACCCTCACCCACAACTTAGCAACACACACACACAACAAGTTCAACCAGCTGAAAGTGTGTGAACACAGGACCTCATTTTCTGTATTCGTTCCACACAGCTATGCCCTTGGGAATCCGGTGGCGAATTTGAACTAATTACATCAGTTGCAATTCTACTGAATCATCCCCTGGCTAGAACACAGATGTAACTTCAAACTAGGCAACAGGGCTGTACTATTGGTAAGAAGCTGCAGCAGAATTTAACTTCAGTGGGAGTTACTACTCTATTTTGTAGACAGAAGTGATGGAGAGTCACTAAATCTAATTTCCACACCTGTGAACCAAAGGGGAGGGGACTGTGGTGACCCCAGCGGCAAAGATGAAAGAAACAGAGCGACACATTTCAGCTCCAGAGACTGAGGCAAATGGGCTCTCTGCCTTGCACCAGTTAAGGATGGCAGGTGTACATCTTACAATGAAAATGGGTTTTCAAGTGGCAGTATAAAGGAAAGATCACAGAATGGCCTTTCCCTGATTAATCATGAGATTAAAAGCTGAAAATGCAGTTCTGCACAGCCTCTTGACAGGGATGGGGGGAAATACATTTCAGCTTAAAGGAAAAAAGAGGAAGTTGAGAAACATTAGTGGATTTTGGTGCTTGTGTAAGTAGTTTGATGCCCATGCAAAGAAAACAAGGATTGCAGAGAAAGAGCTAAATGGTCTCTCACCAAGGAATTGGTCATTTTATTTGCAGATACAAAAGGATTTTTAAAAGTTTGTGGGAAATAGCATTAAAAGATGAGCTTCTTGGGGTGAAAATATGTTTTTGAGTTTCATGTATAACTGAGGAGTCTCCAAAAGAGTCCAATGAAAATGTACATTATGAAAACAACCAATGCTTAGATTTCAGATTTTTTTTTTTTTGGCATCAAAATAAATGTATCTGTTAGTTCTATTTTCCATGAGCTTTTTGAAGTCCCCTGTAGGATGACCTGAGAAAGTTCCAGCAACCTCAGCAGGAAGGCACCCTTTCTGTAATTTTTTTCCCCACATGATAATGGGAAAATGCGACCTCATGGAGCTGAACTCTTGGAAAAGTTGTTCCTACTTCTGTCTGCCTACCTGACAGCAGTCATGAACTTACACCTTGGGCTCCCAGCTACATGGAATTGGTAAATGTAGAATTTACAAGGTTAAAGTGGCATAGGGCAGGTAAAGCAATCCTTGAGATCTGGCTAAATCTGAGATATTTCTCTTCCTTGAAAACATCAGGATGCACTGAATGATCACTCTTTCCTGATGCTTTTGAGCCATTTTGTGAGTTCCTGCATGCACAATGCCTTTTGGTGCCCACTTCTTAAGAGGCAGCCTCAAGATAAATACACAGGGATTGAGGGAAGTTGTAAATGAGTTTCCATGGAAAATATGAAATTGCCCTAGGTCGGTTCTCATGTAATGAGGTGGAGGGCACTGGGGATCGGGGTGAATATATCTTCTGTGGATCAATCGTCATGTAGGAAAGTGGACGAGGAAGTGGGGTGGGAGGGTGGCCAGGAGACCGTCCAAGGACACTGGACTCAATTCCACCTTACACAGTCCCCGTTTGTATCCATATTCCTCAGAGGATTCAACCAATCCCAAGTGAAAACAGTTGAAAAATAAAATTCTATCTCTACTGAACATGTACAGACGCATTCCCTAAATAATATAGTTTACTGTTGACATCACATCAGGTATTGCTAGTAATCTAGAGATACTGCACACAGGAGGATGTGTGGACAAGCAGACACACCATGCTATCTTAGAGAAGGGACCCGAGCATCTGCACCTTTTGCTCCCCAAGGTGTCCTGGACTCAATCCCCTGTGGCTATTACTGTACTAGATATTTTTGCAGCATCATGTATTTCAAAGCATAACTATAACTGACCATAACTTTAACTTCAAATAGGTATGGTTTCTTAAGTCAACCAGAAAGAGAGAGAGAGATGAGATACCACAGGGCACTCAGCTATTAGATCTAGACTCCTAATTTACTGAAGATTTTTCATTAACGCCTACAACTCTGCCAGAACCCAAGTCTCCCTCAAGTGCTAAGTAGCATTCTTTGCATAGAAGCTCCTTCCCAGGAATCGGTAGTAAAGAATATTGGAGCTCAATGTCATCCAGCCTACACTGCATGACCCACGAGCCTCACAGCGACTGGCACAACTTCTTCTCCATTCCTGTCACGCCCTGCGCAGCACACACAGCTAACACCACTGGGCACCAACAAATCCTGTCATGGAAATTGCTATCAAAATCTGTGGAAACCATCTGTTTTTCTGGCTGTTTTTCCTTGCAGTGGTTTTCTTTCATGTATTCCTCACTAACTACAGAAAAATCTATTCTAAACTAACCAAGATGTTATGGCTAAAAACACCAGGGGTATATATATCCAGTTTATGAGAGAAATTGCTTTCTAAAGAGGAGCTGGGTTTTATCTTGTGTGGAGGAAGGCAACATTTCCACAAATATTATAGCTGCGCTAAGAAAATAACCAACTACTTTCATTAAAGAAGTATGTGACAAGATTTGTATTTGTCCTGTAATTGAATTTAATGCTGCTGAAATTTGTCAGACCTGAAAGCTATGGAACTCCATGCCAAAGTTTTACATGGAGAAGAAGACATTGCTTCTCAGCCAGTATCTAGCCAGTCTTCCATTGACCTTAAAAAGGTTGTGAGGGGTGGGGGGTGAAGATACCTGTATCTGGCATCGGAGTGCTTGGGTTCCATTCCTGACTCCAAACTCCTGCCACAGACACGGGAGGTTTGGATTGAGTTCCAGCTTACACTATCAGCCCCTCCCTCTCCTGGCTCTGGTGGCTATTTGGGGAGTGATGCAATGTTTGGAAGTGTTTTCTCTCTCTGTCTCTTACATTGAAAAACAAAAGTCATAAAAGCCGTGAGTCAGTCATGATATAAGCTGCATAATGCTTAGAACCAAAGACTGCTCCAGGGATAATTTTTTTAGGGGGGCGGCCAGGAGGAAGACTACGTGAGTCAGAGTTCAGGAAAATGCTCAGATTATAACAGCCAAGCAATGTGTTCTTCTCTATTTTGTCTCTGGTTTAGAAGCCAGTGATTTAAAATTGGGGATGGAGAGCATACATGTTTTCCTTCCAACCAAGAGTTGTGCAATGGATATGAGCTCACTTACACACTTGCACAGTTCATTATCTTAAAAACTTCAGATTTCCTGCACAGGATCCATAGCTAGGAGGTTATGAGTGTATCACCTTTCTTGGTCTCTCACCTGGGTTCGCCTTGGTTGATGGACATATAAATCTCCCAAGAATTCTCCTCTGGGATGGCACCATGTGGTATGAGTAAACTCACACCTAAAACAGAAAAACCCAAGAGGTTATTCACAGATTCTCCAATTAAGTCTCTCACTTGTGCCCCTAACAGATGGTCACATGAAAGGATCTTCTCACAATTTGTGAAATTTCAATTGTGCAACGTTCAGACTAACGGGAAAAACACTGTTTTGTAAAGGAAGCATATTGTTCAACTGGGTACCAGAATTATTTTCTTGAAAGATTGGAAACAAATCTGAAAACATGACTGATGCTACATCAGGGTACTTAAGAACATTCACAGAAAAATGGAACTAGACGTTTAGTTGGGTACAAACTAATTTTGAAATCTATGAATAGGTTTTTCATAATACACATTTTCCTGTGAACTTCTTGAAGACTGTTTATATTTATGAATTCTGAATTTTTATACCCCAATAAATTTGTTTCCATTTTCCATGCACTTCCCCAATTTGTCTATCATGTCTCTATCCACTGATTTCTTTAAAAAGTTAACCTAGAAAGATGGGCGAGCTATCTCACACTATGCTAGAATCTGAAATTGACAAAATATATGCTTGGAAGTAAACTGAGGATGGTGTACAGTATATAATCACATCTTGTTAAGAAAAAGAGTATGTAAGATTATCTGATAAGCTTAGGAGACTTTTGGGTCATTATAAAATCAGGGAAGTCTTAAAAGTGCACACAGAAATTAGGAATGGTTAAAACTACACATGCCATCACCATATACATGTCTATGACAAAAACAAAACCTGGTGTATTTCAGTGAAATCACATACAGTAGGCGGCCAGATCCAGGAAGCCACCTTGTACTGCATTATAAATGCTTCAGCTGTGATAGTCAATGCTGCAGAGAAAAGATTTCTCTCTGGTCAACAGTCAAGAGATGCCAGGGATTTTATTTAATGCAGGTGTTCATTTACAGAAAGAAATGAAGAAACAAGTCTTTACAAAATAAAATCTCTGTGCATCTCCCTTTCTTTGCATATTGCCGCCCTCTTTTCCTTTCATGAGAAGTAATGTAATCACACAGCAAGCTTTTAGGTTGCTGATAATTCAAATTCAGAGATGCAGGTTTTGCTGATAAAACTTCTTCGGGTCTGTTAGCAGATATAGAGTGAAGCCAAGCAAAAATCACTGTGAGACCAGTTGCTTGTGATTCAAATTTATGAGCATTAGTCAGTTACATGCTACTTCTCATCAGTATCTCTCACAAGCACTAAGAGTGAGGCACATTTCAATTTTGTTTACAGCTTCTCTGCTTTTCCACAAGAGGATATATTTATAGTTCATACCTTAATGCTCAAATTAGGATAACTATAAGTGTCACACTTAGGGGACACCAATCGGGCTCCTGCTCACATTGTCTATTCTTCTTTAACTGCATTGCCTAATAAAATGGCCTCCTTCAGACACTTCCCTGTTGCTGAACACACATAATACATAGCAATATGGAGAATATCCAGTATGTTTAGATTTCCACCTGAATGCACACAGACCCTAGAATTTTGTCTGTGCACCTTCTCTTTGTTGCTTCTGTTTGGAACTCCCCAGGCTGTGATGATGACAGAGACAGGCAGTTCTTCTTTTTCAGGAGACTGCCATCAAGCAGTGATGCCATTTGACATCAATCATGTCTGGGACCAAGTAGGAACATGACATGCATGTGATCATGAATACATGAATAGGATTCGACATTGTTAGTGAACAAAGGCAGGCTCTGAGCACACACATCTTCCGGATATCACCACAGCAGCCTGGCTACGTCACTCCAGATGGGAGCAGAAGAAATACATGTCAAGATGCCTGGGAAACTGCTAGTGGAGCAGATCACATCTCTTTTCATCCTGGCTTAACTCCCTGCTATTCAGATTGAAATATTACTCATAATACTTCTCTACTCAACTTGAATCTACAGGATCACTGGAGCTTCAAAGTGTTTTCTCTCCCTCTCTCTCAGCCACAAATTGCACTATCTTTCAAACAGGTTTCCCTCCATCTACTTAAATGTGCAATTTGTATGTTGAGACTAAAAATGATAGTCTGATACAGAGGCAAGGGTCATGGGGGGTAGCACTGCTGGGGGTAAGTTATATATGATGAAAAATGAGAGGCATGGCAGGAAGCTTTTATGCCTAGGGTCCTTAAAGGAATATCCATCTCCAATATGCCATTCACTCATTATCTCTGATTACGATAAAATATGCTTCCCTCGAATTCCACCTGCTACTCTGACAGCCTTTAATTTGACATGACAGAACTACTTGTCTGAGTTTCTTATTTCATATTTTACATAAAAAATGATTTCCAGAGTGTAGAGAAGGCTTTGAGAAATCATTGCTAGGCACCCAATAAACAATTTGGAGTGAATAGGATAAAGCAAAACACATTTCTGTGCCTTGCTTGCTGTACGCTCGAGTTCCCCAGGGCATATTTTGCATTTGTGTTCTGCAAATAACAGCATATGTTTCAATTCTCCACACTTTTCCTCAAACTCCTTCACAGCAAGCAGCTTCGATCTTGTTGTCCAGTGCCCCTTGTCAGAAACCTTGAAAATGATCCCTTTCCATGGGAAGTATTTGGGAAACACTGTTAAAGCCATCAGCATTTTCAGTTTCCAGTATGTGTGCTGCTCAAAGCAGGAGTGAAGAAACTTCTGACTCATCAGGATTTCATCTCCTTTCATGAAACTTAACCACATGTCATCAGTAAATGGGATGGTCTTGCTCTCTCCTTGACATGTGTGTGTACATGTCCTCTGACACAGTAGTCCAGGAGGGCAGGTAGAGGAACAAGGAGCACTGGTCAACCTACTCCACCACCACCTCTTGGGTGCCAGGCCTGAGCTTGCACACATGTTCAATAACAAAACACAGAACTCTATGTGATTTGGTTTATATATTGATTCTTGGAGAAGTCAGGGAACGCATCTTTTACGATTCCTTTTCTAGGACCCACATTTCAAATGTGTTGATTTTTACAGGATAGGAAACTGGCAAACAAGGCCTACTCATTGAATCTCTTCCCTGCAACATTCCAATGGGACAACTACCACTGCAGACATCGTATGTTGACTCATTCATACATGTTTGAACCAAGATACTTACAGCATCCTAAACACTGACCAGGAAGACTAAGGAAAATTTGAAGCTTGGATGATAAAACCATCATGAGTACCATGCTACAGCAATAACTGAAAACAGTAACAGACTTTGAAATGGAGTTTTTAAGGAAATGGTAAATGTAACAGAGAATAAGTTAACATTCATCCACTTAAAACACATCAGGCTAGTCCTACCACAGATTTCATTTGATGAGATAGAATATTTGGATTCAGAGATTGATTCAGCTTCATGCTAGAGAAATATCTGTTAAGATCCTACTGGCCCTGACTCAATGCTGACTTGTCAGGTACCCACACATGCGGAACCAGTGGCCTTTCTCACTCAGCAGATGACAGAAGTGCCTGACTCAGCACACTACCTGGACTGCACTGCTTAGAATTCAGAGGGGAAATCGACATCTTCTGCTACTCACTTAGCTCTTGGGTGGCACCTCTGAAGAGACAACCCATAGATTAGATGTAATTTTCAAGGAGCTCTGGACAGGACACATTGAGTATGTTCTCAAAATATTCTCTCCCAAACAAAAGGGTGAGAAAAGGCAGTAGCTACAAGTTAACTGCACTTAGGATATGCAGTTGCAATTGAAATTTGAATTCTAAAGGGCAGCTCCACAATGGATCTCATCACTGCCTGTCATCAAATAACATTATTAGCAAAATTTGTGGTTTCTAAAGATGATGAACTCTGAGCATCATTTCACTAAATTCTGTTTTTTTAATTTATTTATTTTTATGTGGGAAGTCAGATTTACAGAGGAGGAAAGACAGATCTTTCATCTGCTGATTCACTCCCCAATTAGCCACAATAGAAGAAGCTGAGTCGATCCAAAGCCAGGAGCCAGCAGCTTCCATTGGGTCACACATGTGAGTGCACGGTCCCAAGGCTTTGGGCCGTCCTCGACTGCTTTCCCAGGCCACAAGCAGGGAGCTGGATGGGAAGTGGGGCTGCTGGAACACAAACTCGTATCATTTTGGATTTTGGCTCATGCAAGGTGAGCTTGTCAGTCACTAGGCTACTGCACTGGACCCTAAATTCTTGGATTAGAAACCTGGGAGATACTAATTGGCAAATCAGGTGTGTATATGAACATGGTATTTAGCAGTCATGCAAACAAAAAATGGTTTCAGTGGTTCCTCATCATGTTCTCAGTATTTCAAAGGTATATAAACCCTGGAGACCACACAAACCTTTTGTGCAAATAAGACTATCACTTCTGTGGCTGGTGTGACAACTAAACTGACTAATTTTCCGCATAAAAGTGCCAACATCCCATATAGGTGCTGATTTGTGTTCCAGCTATTTCACTCTCCATCCAGCTCTCTGCCTTGGCCTGTGAAAGAAGTAGGGGCTGGCCCTAAGCCTTGGGACTCTACACCCATGTGAGAGACCTAGAAGAGCCTTCTGGCTGCTGGCTTTGGATTTGCTCAGCTCTAGCCATTAAGGCTGTTTGCGGGGAGTGAACTGCTAGATGGAAGATGTTTGTCTCTCCTTCTCTCTGTGAATCTGCGATTCCAATAAAAAATGATTGTTTTTAAAAGATTATAAGTTCTAACAGGACATCATGTGGAGTGTTGATTCTAGACATCGAGAATGCAAACCACAGGGCTGGCTCTGGTTTGCTGAGTAAATCAGCTTGCTGGTGGAGGGGCCTCAGCTTTTGATGCTCTGAGAAGGAGACAGTAAGTATCATAAAAAGAACCTTATGGGACTCAATTACATACAAAGTGGTTTGACAAACAACAGAAGACACACACACACACACTTGCCACCCACCTGTATTGGGCATGACCAAGCGTCCCCCTAAATGGCCAAATACACCAGTGGTCCTCAGCTCTGTCCTGGTGGGAAGAGACGACAGGTTCTGGATGTAGGGAGCTTTGTTTCTGGGATGCACTGTAGTAAAGTTCCGGTTGTTTCCATGGGGAAAAGTTCCCGAGTGATTCTTGCCATGGTACTCAGCTCTCTCTGACACGCCCAGGGAGACCATGAATGAGCTCTGGACTTTGACTTTGATGTCTGACAGAGGGTTGAAGAGTGAGGACTCTGTCATGAGCTCCTTGTCCAGAGGATCCTGCAGACAGATGGGACCGCTGTACGTCCGGCTGACAGTCAGGTCTGGTTGCATGGCGGAATTTAAAAGTAGCGAGTTACCTGGTCAAAGAAAAGTGACTTGTTGCTCGGAGGTTGAAAGCACCAGAGTTAGCCCTTTGACTCTGCTTCTACTAATGCCCAACCACCTGTGTAACTGGCATGTGTTTCAATCAGAGCCAGCTTCCTAGGTTCACCCTGGGTTATTGGAACAACTGTCACAGGGTGGCCATTCAAGCCCTGAGTATTTTCATCAGGATGTTCAGCCTGGACCATCCAGTCTCTGTATGCCATTGAGCATAGTTTCCCATTTGGAGAGACCTTTACAAGCTCTGTGTTCAAAAAAGGCAACTAACTCCAATATTATTATGATTATTTGAATGGGCAAAGTCAAACTTAAACAGGAAGGGTATTTGGAAAACCTATTTGTAGCAAAACTCACACCTCTTTAAATGACATAGGCTGATATAGTGTAGTGACTGGGCAGGGCTGTTTATAATAGAAACTGAGTCCGTTCCAGTACATTTCATATGCAACTCATGGCTATTACTGGGGCTTGGAAGGGAGGATTCAAAAAAGGATGCATTCTCAGAGCAAAAGGATGACAGGATCTTCTGCATCACTCTGTGCTCTTGTAAGACACCTGTCACTCTGCAATAAAGAAGGATTCAGATGCTACATGGGGAGCAGCGTAGAATGGCTTCCTCCCAATCTCAAAGACAAAAAGGAAAAAAATATATCTTTGTAAAAAACCTGAGATATTGGACTCTCTCATCTGTTGAGGTTCACCACATTTTTGTTCAAGTCCAATATTATGGAGAGATGCTGTAATATTTTCTGGTGATGAAATAATCTCATTTATTAGAGAATAACAAAATAACCTCCATCACCAACCTCTCACCTGTCTTAGTCCATCAATGTGACATCTTAAATTGAAACCCAAACCATTATTAAACAGTTTTCCTTTGAAGCCTGACAAAAAGGTTGGAAGTAAGCTTTTGAAAATGTTGCAGTTATAGGGCATATTGTATTAGCCACTATTATTTTTCCATTTTCATAATTTTTTGCAATGCCATTAGCAAATCTCTAACTCTGGCTTTTCCTATTACTTGTTCAGATGCTCCAAGATTCCAGAATAAAATAAAAATACGCAGATGAGATGAAATCACACTGTGGACTTCAAGGGGAAAAAAAATCCCTTGTTGATGGAATTTTCTTTCCATGCTTTGGGCTGCTGTGTCAAGAGATAGGCCTAATCAAAGAGCTATGCTTCTTAAAGAATAACGCTGAAATCCACAGGTTGTGACCTTACCCCTGTTTATGATCTTTACACGCAAGAGGAGGAAGGAACAGATCATTCTACATCTAAAGAGAATTCAGAACAGGAGTTCCTGTCATAGAGACAGCAAAAAATCATACCCCACTTCTCCTGGTTATTTGACCTGCAGGCTCTCCCTTCTGAATTAAAAATTTTGACCACTCTTAAAAAGTTTTTGCTAGCTCACAGAGAGAAAAGACACAAAAGAAGAAAAAATCCTGTAATTAGGACATGAGTGGAAAAAATGCCTGGTCATAAAAGCATGCCCATCTGGAGAGACCAAAGCTGAGGTTCAACTTCATCAATGCAAGTTTTCTCTAGAGGGTCTTTCTCAAGGCCCTAGGTTGCCCCAAGAAAGACATTTCACTTAAAGGTTTTCCTGTTTTTCTCCCATGGGTACCACATTCATTGCTGGAGAAGACATGTTCTAAGAGAGTTGAGGTGAAAAACATATGGCCATCCATGTTGGGCACGTTATCCTCCATTGGGGAGGTGGAAGATCAGCTGAGCTTGGAAAGGCCATCTATTCTTTCAGATTCACAACACCATGTAAATTCTGAGAAGCTCCAGCAAACACATACCTGTAAGCTTAGGAAAGTTGGCATTCCCTGCCAAGTTCATGCCAAGGAACTTGCCACTCTCATTTGCTCCCTGGTATTCCATGTCGGTATCTTGGGACAGGGTCAAGGGAAGCAGTCAGCTTCTAGAACTGTACTCACTCCATTGATGAGCACTTTTCATGGGCAAAGGAATAACCACATTCTTTTAGGTGATTTCAGCCTCATAGGAACATTGGAGGTAGATGTTAGTACCCTAGCACTATAGCTGTAGAAACAGACTAAGGAATGGGGTTCAGTCTAGCAACTGCGATACCTATTTCCATATGTGAGTACCTGGGTTTGAGTCACAGCCCCTGTTCCTCATTTTGGCTTCCTGCTGATGCTGGTTCTGCATGGCAGAAGGTGGCAACTAATGTAGTGGGGTCTCTGTCATCCATATAGGAGACATAGATTCTGGCTCTTCCATCTCTGGGTGCCACAGGGCACTTGAGAAGAAAATGGTAAAGTGTTTTGGAACATGCTCCCTTTAACTTCATCCATTTCCATCTTTCTCCATTTCTTTCTTATTTATGATTCTCATTTTTTTTTAAATGAGGCTTACAGAGGATCAATGATTAACTAGATTACAAAGCTAAGTTTTAGACTCAAATAATGGCTGACGTCAAAGTCTATGAACTTGGGGCCTAAACTGTCTCTCATATTGATGTATTTCTTCAATTTTTAAGTGTTAAGGTCTAAGATACTCCCATCTTCTCAGTTAAAAGGATCATATTTTCCAGTTTGTCACATAGCATAAAAATAATTTCCTTGTTACACTTGCTTTTGATTAAATCAACATTACTGAGTTAAGTGCTCACATTTAGGGGATGTTTCATACTTGAGTTTCCCAGGAATAAACAGTGGGAAGACAGCCTCTCATTCTTGTCAACTACCTCCTTTTTCTTTCCAGATCATGCTGAGATTTTCCTTTTAGGAGTCTGTCAATCCCAGCCAAGGCTCTATGCTATGGGATCCATTAACAGCCAATAAAGAAAAATGATGAGACAAATGTAGCTGATAAAGCCCCAGGTCATAATCTTTATACTCAGACAAGAGATGACCTCATTTGTTCTCAAATAAAAACCACGTAGGTTTGACTCTCACCTCACAATCAGGAATAGATCTGGTTCATTGAAGAGAATTAAATGTCTGTTTTGAAAATAAGTATAGCTATAGCTTGAAAGGAGGTTTACATTTTGCCACAACAAAAGATGGCTTACCCTTGATAGAGTTAATTTGATGGAATTATTTGTTTCCTGGCTAAATGACCCATCTTAAACCCTCCAACATCCTTTTTAGTTATTTAAAACAGAAGCAAAAAAAAAACAAAAAAAACTAGTCCTACCTCATAAACAGGGTAAAAAATAGGCCTGGCAGGTTGTGATTTAGGGGGTGGCCTTCAGTTTTGAGTAATTGATATTTTATGACACTGTGAGTTAACTAAAATAAGAAGTTGCAGAACTTGGGATATAGTAATACTTGGCTAAGCTCACATAAAATAAAAAAGACATCTCACTTAAAATGTTGGTAATGGTAAACAAAGGTCCATTTGACCTCAGTAGCCAAGGACCTAAGCAATCAGTTCACCAAGCTTGATCTTACTTAGGCAGACATTCTGGCAACGGCTCCCATGGCGAAGAGCTACTTTCACACAGGGCCAAGGAGAACAGTGACGTTCCTGTGTGAGCGTAGCCTGCCACTGTGGGGATGAGATGTTGGGGGCCTATGCCGCTAACCTTGACGGACTGTTTTGAAGTTGAAGGTCTGGAAGCCACCTGTCAATGCAGAAGAGTCGATGACGTCCACGCCATAGTCACTCTGGCTCCGTCTATAGAGGGTGACCCCAATGACCAGGACGGCCACAGCCACGACGGCAGCACCCAAGCCCGAGTACAAAGCAATGTCGCTGGCATTCTCGATGCCTGAAAGACACAAGAGAAACCCTCAATGACTAATGTGGGCCTTAAGCCAAGGCACCCTCCCCTGTCTTCACAGGACACAACATGAGATGCTACTGGATTTTGGAGTGAATGCTCAGAGAAAATGACATATGCAAGCCAGTGCTAAGTTGTATGCTGTTTCACACAATAATCATGTTTCTAAAATGCCCTAAATCAATCAAAGCAATGCTAGTCAAATATCTCAACTGCATTAAGGTAGCTTACCGTGTAATAGAGTCTTGCAGAGAATCAATTTTATAAAGAAAATATTTTTTTCCATTTTAACATAGACAATTCTTTGGCTTATTTTAGCAAGTCACATTTATCTGAAAAGTATTCTCTTCATTCTGTGGAAAGAGTATCCTACATACAATGACAGAATATGGGTGAGCTGATCTGTTTAGATGAACGGGGGCACATGCATTGCCAGAATGCTCTAGGACAGGGAGGTCACACAAAATCTAGGAATCCACAGAGAGAAGACTAGGGTAATAGGAATTTTAGTTTTGGCACAAAATTGCTTTGATGTGGAGGACACTGACAGCATCAGTTTGGGGATATGCAAACATCAGGTGAGTTTTTATGCTGAGAGAGGAAGGTTTTGGTCCTAGGTACAGCTCTGTCATTGGGTAAGGTTTCCTGACACTGTTCAATGCCAGGTTCTGGGATTTATTGTGACTGAGGACTTGTCTCTAATGGGGACACATGCCGTTTCTCCCATACCTCTCCTACTCCATCCTATCGAATGCATGAGCAAAGCAAAAATAAAAGCGTTAGTTGGAATTTAGAGTATAGGTGGTCCCCCACCCCCCGAGATATGCTGTAGCTGCTTTCCCTCCCCCTTTTTTAGATGCACATGAGGGTGTGGCTCATTGATGAAGCAAAGTTCTAATGCCTATGCAATTCAGCATAAGCAATTTTTGCAAAGCAACACCAACCTAAAAGAGGTGTAATCTTGGAAACTATGTGGAAATGGAAGGTGGCAAATGCTAACTGCATAATTAATCTTCCTGCAGATTATGTGGTAAGTACACTTAATGGGTCCAAAAGTAATTACGATGTCACCCTGTGTTGGGCTGAGAGGATAAAATAAACCCATCATATATTCACCTTGTAATTGCACAACACTTACTATGCATTCACTGCACCTTAATACGGTACTTATGTTCTCAAATGAGTAATACTAACCACACAAGCAAAGTGAATTTATTTTCAACAAAGTTAGTGGACTGTAAAATAAGGTGCTACCAAATTAAAGAGTGAACAAAGAAATCAAACAGAACTAGTTCAACAGCAGGATAGTAAACACATGAAAATGATGTGCAAGGGTGAACCCAAGTGTCTCTTCCCCTCCTTCTCCCCCGTAGTATCTGAAAAGTCAAGAGATTATCAGACATCTTTGGTTAACCGAGCTCTGTGATGGGTGTTGAGAAAGATGGTGTGACTTAGACCTTCATTTCACCTTCATGATGGTTCAAGAGGGAGAGGGAGAGATAATGAGACCTACTTCTCCAAGCACTTAGAAGCTTGTGTGCAGTCAGGAATGTCTCAGTTCCCACGGCTGTTAGTCCTATGCAGGGGCAGAAATAGAGCAAATGCCATTCCACACAAGCTCCCACCCATCTCTACTCACTGAAGTCCCTGGGAGAGAACAATGACACCCCAATTCCAGGGAGGACACAGGCATAGCAGAAATACCAGGCTGGGCTGTACGGAGCAGCAGGAGAGCTTTGGACAGAAACCAATTAGCCTCATACTCCCTACTTCCTCTCCATTTCCTTGGGCTTTGCTGACTGATGACAAGATCACCTTAAAAGGTGTATCTGGGGAGAACACACCTGCTCAGCAAATTAGCACACACAGAGCAGCAGCCAGGCAGCATACCCAATGCAGCTGCCCGGCTGCTGACTTGGCAAAGCAGAAAAACACATTGTTAGTCTCCCAGACATTCAACCAGGAACTTCTAGAAGGCAGGACCATGGCCAAGGCAGAATGCCTGGGTTAAGAATGGACAACCCTGGATGTGAACATTCTATGACAAAACAGTACAGGGACAAGTTGTCTTTTCTCCACTTAGACTCCCACATGCCCCCCGCCTTTTGTCACTGCCCAGGTAACCAGAATTCCCATTCTTTCAGCAGATACAAATCATGTTTTTGTTTTCCTTTGTTTTGCGAAATAATCCACATATCCCTTCTGACCTAAATCTAAATATTTTAGAGGGCTCAGGGGGCTTCCTCCCTCGAGAACATTTCTAAGAATCCATTTGACCTAGGTCAAGAGAAGGAAATTCTAAATTAGAGTGTTTTTAATGAGTGAAAGGACCCTGTGGTGAGGTAGGGAACAAAGTGCAGGCACTATGGCTCACCCTAATGTTGGGCAGGGCTGCCTGGTGTCCAGCCATGAGCCGGATCAGAGAGTCTGCTATTCAAGAGAAACAGGGTGGAATTCATTTTGCAAGAACCATCTCCTGGGGAGATCCTGCTTGCACGAGCAACCTCAGTGGTGCTGAAAAGTATTCAAAGGCACATTTCATGTCTTAAAAGATCCATTTTCAGAGGCCTTTACCTACAATGCAAATTCTTACGTTGCTTTCTTCTTCCTTTTTTCCCCTCTCTACGTATCAGTGTGTGCACATCTCATTCGCGTTCCTCGTTTCTTGTCTCTGCCTCACTGTTGACTGATTACTCTTCCCAATAAGGATCTCCCTATATTCACTACAGTTTTAGCAAAACTTTTGTTTATGTTCAGGATTGGCCCATATGCACTTACAGGTTAGCTTCACATTTTCTACTCTGACCTCATAGAAGAATGGTAATAGCATGCGCGTCTGGGTATGGGCATTTGCATATATGTATGTGTCTGCTGGCACCCATGCACTTGAAGCTTTGTACACATTGTCATGTACGCATGTGTACATGTGAGTGCGTGTATGACAACTTATCAAAAGATGTGGGGGCCGGCGTGTTGGCTCAACGGGGTAATCCTCCACCTCCAAGCAAAGGCATCCCATGTGGGTGCTGACTTGTGCCCCAGCTACTCCATTTCCCATCCAGCTTCCTGCTTGAGGCCTTGGAAGATGGCCCAAAAGCCTTGGACCCTGAACCTGCATGGGAGACCCAGCGGAACCTCGAGCCCCATGGCTTCTGGCTTTGGATTGGCTTAGTTCCAGCCATTGCAGTCATCTGGGGAGTGAACCAGTAGGTGAAAAAAATCTCTCCTTTTATCTATAAAATTGACTTTCCAATGATGATAAATAAGTCTTTTTGAAAAGAGGAAGATTGGGGACTGGCTGGGAAGAACAATTCTCTCTTTCAGGAGATTGGCTCTAGCAACAGGACCACAGGGCAGGCACCACCCAAGCCCTTTCTCCCCATTGATCCTGTGCTCATGTCAGCCCTTCACCTCATTGTCATTCACCCCAAAGTCACCTGAAAGTCATCGACTGGCCAGGTGATAAAAGTATACTGTAAGAAGTTCCTGGAAAGTTGACATTAAAAGACTAACTTACCTAAGCGCTAAAAATGTTGAAACCCAAACATACTTCTTTCATAATATACATTTTCTGTGAATGTTTTGGAGACCCGATGTATGTATGGGTTTCAAAAATTTACATCAAAATCAAATTTTAATGTTTATTTACACTCAACATGGTGAAGGCAGATAAAAAAAAAATCTCCTTTATCCTTCTCTGGCATTCTTTCCAAAAGCCCACATCATCTGGGGCCAGCCCAGGAGCAAGACAGGGTTCCAAAACTCTATCCAGCTCCCACTATGGGTGGCAGACACAATTATCTGAGCAGTCATCTCGTTACTTCCACACATAATGGCAGGAGGCTGGATTGGAAGTAAAGTACCCTGGATACAAACCAGGCACTCCAAATACAGCATTCGTGTATTCTAAACAGCAACTCAACTTTTCACATCAAACACCACTGCTCATCCACCAAATAAGTTTTGGATGTCAGTTTTTGATATACCTTTTTAAGTACGTCCGTGTTCTCTTAGTCCCACTGGGCATCTTAACCCCTCTGTCTCTGTGCACATCTTTCAAGCACCGACATGTCCTCATCCAATAAAGGCTCAATCCAATCAATGCTGACAATCAACACTTTCGCATAGATCACTTGTGGCTCCTAGCACTCAGGATTGTATCTTTTTTTCTTGTTAATTATCTGAATGCCAGTAGAGTGATTTGTTCTCCCTATCTGCTGTAAACCCTTTAAAGGCGATTAGACCTCTATAATTTCTCTCAGAGGCTTGCAAATCATGGTGCACCCCTATTGATTAGTTGATTGTGTGGCCTCCAACTGTGGGAAGAGAGGTTTAAAGAAACCACAGTCTCAGATTCACAGTAATACTCCTGACCCTCTCTGCATTTGTAGCTACCTATGTATTTGTTTATGCCTACCCATTCTCTTGCATTCATATGAGGCTTTTTGGTCTGGCCTAAGTAATTTTTGAACTAGGCTCTTCTTTTCTGCGAGTGAAAGATAATTTTCTCTTTCATAAAAGAAGTTTTCCATGTTAATAGGCTGTTGATATCCTTCCTACATTCTCCATCCTTTTTTCCCTTTCTATGTAAGAGTCAACAGCTTTTGGCAAGAACCTCATGTGTAATAGGAAGCACTGTGCCATTACAGCTATGACAAAAGGACAGTAAGTGGTTGGCCTACTGCCGAAGAGGGATTGAGACTCATCCATCTCATATCAGAGCGCCTGCATTTAATCTGGCTCCTGTCTATAGCTTTCTGCTAATGTACACTCTTGGAGGCAGCAGTGATAATCCAATAATTGGTTCCTACAACCTACACAGAAGACTCTTGGATTGGATTCCTGGGTCCCAGCTTTTTTTTTTTTCAATTTAATATTGATTTATCTATTTGAAAGTCAGAGTTAGAAAGCAGGGAGGGTTAGGGAAGGGGCAGAAATCTTCCATTTACTGGGTCATTCCAAAGATGGCCACATTGGCCTGGGTTGGG